GACCCAACGAACAATTAGTTGCAACTACTGTTACACACATAAAAGAACCATTCAAAATTTAATTAAATTAGCCGTAAAACGTGTCTTCTACACACATGTCCACTTAATTACCCACAATGCATAACAGGATAACCACATGACGCTCCATTTTCCGGAAACCCGACACTTCACGACACTTAAATGTCAAACCGCGAAATGTCAAAGCCGGTAATGAATAAAAGAAAATTTTAATTGCAGATTACGTACTGCAGTTAATTGAACGAATTGCCACACCGCCACGTTACTATTATTACCATTACAACATCGGGGTTTCATTTAGCCGGTGATACGTCACTCTCAGTAGTAGAGTTTTTTTCGTGACGTCACGTGGCGCGAAATTCGAATCGTTAACCTTTCACTCTTGCAAATTTTCGGAACTGCAGTTACGTAAGTTAATAGTAGTGCAGCGTTTCAATTTCCATAATTCACTGTAACTACGTACAGTTAGGAAAAAGTACAGTTGCTGGCAGAATTGTCGGAGCGGATTTATGCAACAGTGCGTGAAAGTCGAGATTAATAAGCGGAAGGTTAAAAGGTGAGTCGCCGGTTGATTGAAGACGGAGAAGAAGTTGAAGAAAGTTGATTTTTGACGTGTGAACTCTGCCAATGTCAATGGGTCTGTTGCGGCATGCGATTACAGTGTGGTGTATTTCGGTTGTTGTGGAATGGAAAGACAATGGACCTATTTACCTACCTTTCTATGGATGCTGGTCGGATTATATAAGTCCAGCATGCAATATTAGTTCATGTGAATGCACTCTCACTACAATGAAGAGGATGCGGGCCACTGATCACTTGCTGTTCTACAAGTGCAAGAAAAGACTGAGACCCTTCTAGTTTGTTCCGGCGATTTATAATAACGTCTTGGGGTCACCAGGTAACGGGAAGATTTAACAAACACTGGACTTGGAACACTGGAGGAACAGTTTTCTTCGCGGAATGGGGTATTGCTTTCGAGGTAAACGCGAGCAAAAAGATGGTTTGCGTCTACACAGGAACTTAAAAAAACTAATAACTCACTATAATGTCGCAGTAAACGTCAAGGCGTCCGGACGGGTTATTTCTCGAATTTATGAGAGGGGGGGGATCTGTACTGGTGGAATCGTCCTCGAATTTACAAAATTTTGGGATGACGTCATCAAATTATTGGTGGGAATTTCACAACAATCCGTCCAGTAGTTTCAGAAATTATTTCTCAAATAAAGTCGCCAACAGACCATACACAGATATACGACAGGCAGACGGAAACGGGAAACCTGTTTTTCCATACTATAGATTTTCTTAGATTAATCGTAAGAGTTGGTTCTGCAAACTTTATTTTTTAAATGTTAACATCTATACAGGGTGAGTTACTAACGCGCGGTTCCCTACATTTGTAATTACCAAAATTTAGATGACTCAAGCAACCTGTATTGCTTGCTGCACTCACAGTCTAAGGTTTCATTTTTTTAAGTAATTTTTTAACACAACACATCCCTATTATTTAGAAACATTTATAGTACTTTTATATGTAAAAGGTAACTAGGTTTAAATTGAGTACGTTTTATAATGGCTCTCGCTGTATGCATGATGGAAAAGAAGTGTGAAAATAATGACACAGTACACGAAAACAAAGAATTTAGTTAGCAACTGAAAGTTAATTTGCCGAGCATGGTAACTCAGAACATAACATGTCCATTATTTGAAAGCTACTTCTATACGGCATTGTCTCCTTTTTCCCTAATTCCAGATCCAATTTAGTGTGTTTGTCAGCCCGTAATGTATGCGGATAAAAGCTCTAAAATAAAAAAAAATTACAGACATGGGAGTGTCCAAAAACCATCAATCTAAAAATAGAGTACTTGTGTCGATCTAGCAATTTTCTCTAACAAAAGAGCTTATATTTGAAAAAACCAAAAATGACGAACACAATCCACCGATAAAATGCATCAAATGTCAAACACACTTCCTAATAACTCCCCCGTCTGAAGAGTGAAGCAAATTGTTAAATTTCAATTTCCTGTCAATCTTCAAGCTCGAAGACCCTCGTAACCACCAGACGCCAGATTGCTAAACTGCACTTTATTGCATTCACATTTCTTATTTTATTCCCAATATTGTGTAAACCGTGTGAGTGCAATAACTAAGTATAAAACGAACACGCATTTTTTCTCGTTCCGGGTATCGGATTCAGAGAACCGTATTTCTAGGCAAAAAGTGATTTATGAATTCAAGAGAATAACAATAAACACGATAAGCATCAAAATGTACTATTCAGACATCTTCCTCCTGTGAACTGTTTGCTGATCTTATCTAGGTTCAACGATTCCTTTGTCCAATTTTAATCGCTCCACTACACTAAATACTGTTAACCTTTAGGTGATTTCTTCGAGTCATCGACGATGATGTGCTTGTGCAACGAGAGCATCGAGGAAGTTTGAGAGTAATTGCTGTTTACTAAAGCGTGTAGGGACAAGAAGTGTTAAATAAAAATTGCTTCTTCGCGAGTTGCTGTTTTCTTTTGGTTTTAGCAGCTTTGTAGAAGGATGGGGCGAAATTATTACAGTTATTTCCAGTGTTCTCGCAATAATCCGACCTAGCGAGATTTGGTTACTGTGTGGAGATTGAGAAGGTCGTAGAAAAAATTTTGGCTGCAGCATTTTTTATAAACTAAATTCAAAAATTAAATAATTAAAATGGTAAAAAATGAACCTTTACGTTTTGATAAACAACCTTCGCGTTTTATTTATTGGGAAATAGTTAATAATTATAGACTATGGAACAAGTTTGAATTATTCTACTCAGTAGAGTTAAATAATGACTTACGTTACCGCACCGCCGTTTAAATTAGTGGGATAAGTTGGCTTAGCAAACGCTTTAATTTAATACATTAATAATAATCTTTTCCATTTACTTAACTTGGGCTTTAAATAAGGTTTTAGACCGTAGAGAAAATTTTGCAAGTAGATTGACTATACATGCTTACACATTTTATTCTGTGGTTAACAAGGCTTTTATTCCACTTGTGCAGTAATTAATTACAGTACACAATTAGACATTCACAATGGAGCTTTAAATGTGAGTTGGTTCCCCTTGTATTTTAAGTAGGTAATTTGAAAGATTCGGGAACTACTTGTGTCTGGTTTTTGAAGTAGTTTGAAAGAATCCTGCAGACTCCTTGCGTCTGATTTTTGAAGTAGTTTTAAAAAATCTCGGCGACTCCTTGTATCTTGTTTTTGAAGTAGTTTGAAAGAATCTTGAGATTTGGGTTTTGTTTTTGAAGTACCTCGTTTGAAAGAGTATTAGGGACTCCTTGTGCTTGGTTTTTGAAGTAGTTTGAAGATTCTAGGGTATCTCTTTTATTTTATTTTTGAAGTAATTTGAAAGAATCTTGGGGATCATGTGTGTTTTGTTTTTGAAGTAGTTTGAGAGAGTCTCAGGGACACCTTGTGTTTGGTTTTTGAAGTAGTTTGAAGATTTTCAGGTATTCCTTTGTTTTATTCTTGAAACAGTTTGAAAGAATCTTGGGGATCATTTGTGTTTTGTTTTTGAAGTAGTTTGAAGATTCTCGAAGACCTTTTTTATTTTGTTTTTGAAGTAATTGGAAAGAATCTCAGGGACCCCTTTTGTTTTGTTCTTGAAGTAGTTTGGAAGAATCTCGATGATCACTTTTATTTTGTTTGTGAAGTACATCATTAGAAACCTGCAAATTTCAATTTTTGAGGCAACATTTCAACCCAGAAAAAGTAAATAAAATTTGTACAGATCTTTGTTGTTTCTGCTAGTCTCAAGTATGTTCATTGTTTGTAAATACGTAACCAGATCGCCGGAATACTTCACGGTTTTATTATTTCTATTCTTCTACACTATCCGCTTTAGTCTGCATTTAATATTTCTAACATACTTTTATATAATGCAGCTAGTGTGCTATTGTGGTGTGAATTATGCAAAACGAATCGTACATCAAATTGAAATTTGTGAATTTTGCCGCCTCGTTTTGATATTGACTTATTATTTTATTCTTCACAACCCTTAAACTCCTATTTTTTCATCTGACTAGACGCTTGTTTTCTTTATGTTCCATTTCGTAGGTCCCGATTTAGGCAACAATAAATTACGAATAGCCACTTTAGCATTTCACCAACTTCCGGCCATGTACTTGTAAACATTTCATTTTCAGATATAGCTGCCGAAATTCTAGCACAGTTTTAATAACCTCCACAGATTCCTACACCTCCATCTCAGAAAACTTTCCACTTTCATAGTTAGAAAGTAAATTTTAAACCGTTTTTTTTTTATTTTTGCTCACCATTATCACATGCAAATCTAGCGTAATATTTCATCGTAATCCTCGGACATGAAGAGTTGAATGCTTTCTCTTTACCGCTAAGTGTCAAGATCTCGAGTTGACTTAGGTTTGAGTCATAAACTAGTTGACGCCCCTAATTAGTATGCACTCTGTAAATATTAAGTAAGCAAAGTGGTTCAGAAATCTACTTAAGTCGGAACGCCGCCGCAATAATGCGTACTTAACTGCATTAAAAAAAAAAACAACAACAAAACAATAAAAATTCAGAGGGCGTCTGTCTTACACTTGACATTTACACTGTTTTTTAACGTTTATGTTGTAATACTGATATTTTTATCTTGTTGGTAAATACATGAATGAGGTAGCACTTTTGCAAAAAACTCAAATCTTTCTATAAATCCGTTTCAGTTTTCGTTGAATCATTCTATGGGAGAACTCAACAAGATTTGGGCCCAGATGGTCAAAGCTGGCGAAGAAACTGTTCAACCAGTGGTAGCACCTACGGTGAAAGACACGCACAAGGAAGAATTTTGTACTGGAAACTTGTTCATTGGGAAAACAAATGAGTTCGGTATGACGGACAACGGAAAATACCTGTATTCGTTTGGTAAGTGCAACAAAAAACTCACGGTGGGCTGATCTGGGTGTTTGGTTATCATAGCAACAGGATTGACATCACTTTATTTTGTGTTTGTCAGAGTTGGACATTGTTTTTTATTTTTCGGGAAAATTAGCGTCTGTGTTCAAAATTTAATTCGGAAGTAATTCGTTGCGAGCGTCGAAATGGCGAAGAGGAGGACCAGGGCTATGAGTTTGTCCCTGGACTGGGATAACATGGTTAAAGACGACGACGCCGACAAAGATTCTAAAATGAATTTAGCAGGGCTTATAGCGTATGACAGGAATACGGTGGACTTTTGTACGGGAAGCTCATATACAGGGAAATGGAACAGGCTGGGGATGGCCGTCTACGGAAATTACACTTTCCCATACGGTTTGTTTACCCTTGTCTTGTTTATTTGCTACTTTTTGGTGTCTCAATTAACATAAAAACATATTTGAATTAATTGTTGTTTGAGGTTAGGCAACCAACATTTATAGGAGAGTGCAGATACAACCGGTCAACTTAGTCAATAGGGAATTTTATATTTATTGTTTCTATTTATGAGCTTCAAGGTCAATTTCTTAGTCTTAAAATAGCAATATGTGTTTAATTTAACTTGAATGAAAAGTGTGGTCGGTCATATGCGTTGCCGCTTTTGTTTATGGTAAATACAATGTTGTTATTATTATGAAGTGAACCGATAAATTTAATTATTTGTGAAACTGTTGAATTAAAAACTCCCATTTTGGTTGGATACAAAAATAACGTTCTGATAATAGTCCAATTTAGATCTTTGTTTAGTTACAATTGAACTAATGCATTAGAGCGACAGTTTGTGAAGACTAAAATTGCTCAATATTAATCTGATTTGTTGTCAAATTTACGTTTTAATTATTATTGAGTACTAACGCCTTTTTGGATTGTGCCAGTTTAAGTTATTAATTAAAACAGCAAGTAACACATTTTGCCACTTCATGTGATATAATGCTGTATTAAGAAGCAGTTGGCAAAGTTCATATTAAGTACAGACTGAATTATTGATTACTTGGGCATTAAACGTAAACTGCTTCTGCATGCTTTGGTAATTGAAAACATTACCATTTAAATTTAGTTTGAGAAATTATTAGCTAGTGGAAGTGAATCCCTGCCTAGAAGGATTTTTGCGACATTACAGTAGTAATTTATTTGTATAACAATATGAGTAGTTGTCAATATCAAAACGAGGCGGCAAAAGTCACAAAGTTTCAAAGCTAACTTGATGTTACGATGCATAATCAGTAAGTACCAATGTTTATATTACGAATTCAAATTAACGCGTTTTCTAATCCAACTTATCCCACTAATTCAACAGGTGGTGAATTTTTGATTTTGGAATGAGCACGACAGGGGTTTAATTATTTAAATAACTTTAGACCAATGTTTAAAATATAGCTTTCAAAGTAAGCTTATTATTAAAGCTATTCATATTCATAACTTCCGAACTGCGAGATCGTGAATTTGCTTTTTAAATGTAATTCGCAAGAATGTGCGCCGATTAGAATATTGAAATTGTGACACTACATAATTCCCCTTTTCCCTCTTTTGAATTTTGAATTTTAATGTTTTCCTTAAAATGTAATATAGTGATAGCATGAATTTAATTATTACTGCAAATGCATAGAGCATTGTTTTAATTTTAGTAAGTACATATAATTCTAGTATTAATGGTTGCCTATTCATCTTAAAACCTTATACAAGGGATAAGTTATTTTAAAATTTTATAACTAAAACAGGAACATTATTTGTTCGTACCACTTTCTCAGTTCGGACTAATCCTTTCGGCCCGTACCTGAAAATCCTTCTCCAGCTCTAAACAATCCTAAATGCGCATTACTACTGTAAAGTTGGATTAGTTCCAACAAAACCGATAGCGGTATTCCATTAAAGTTGCTAATTGTTTTAAAGCATGGTAAATCGGTCACAAATAATTTCCGCCCTTTGCACTGTTGGTTGCCTAAACCAAATTAAAAATTAACCAACCCATAAAAGCGACCTCCATCTAGTAGCAGCTGCCATCTTAAAAAATATAAAATCCTCCGACCATCTTTTGCTCGAATAAAAATTGCAAATTTATTGTTCCCATCACGTCGTATGTGTGAACAAACGCGAATTCGTCCAGCCATTGATGCGTAAAAAATTCAAGCGTTCGTCGGCCCCAGATAATCGTGGTTCTTTAAGTAGGGCGAAGGCGCCTGAAAGCGCTGTTGGAGTGCGCGCTTGTGGAACGTTTGTCTGAATTTGACCGGGTAAAGAGTATAATATGCGGCAGATTGTCTGATCTGTGTCGATATTTATTATAGACACTCAGAAACTACCGGACTGATTGTTATCAAACTTGATATTTGCTATAAACAATTCAATGACGATGTTGCACTCCGTGTAACTACTGTATCACTTCCACCTCTGGATCAGCTCTCTCTCTTCGAGCTCCTCGTTATAATTTGAATAAACCCGTGTCGTGCTTTTGTCGTTTTCTATGCGTTGTAGTGCTGCCAATTAGGCGGCTTCCCTTTAAACTTCCCGTCTTGTATTCCTGCCCCCGCCGCCACCGGCTAAAGCAAAATAAAAGCACAATATAACTGTGCAATATAATAGGGCGAACGGTGGCGTTCACACATAAATCCAGTCCGGAACTCCCGGAATGTTTATGTACCTATATTATACAGACATGGGTGGCATTTCATTGATGGATACGAATCGATCTCTGCTTCCCAGAGCCTCCGGTCATCAGCCTTTGTCGTCTGCGGAAGCCGTAATCTATTACCGTCGATTTGACACAACATGGCGCAGCAGATTGATTTTTTACCATAAAAAAATTTGTTTTCCCGTTTGTAATCGCTGCATTTGTAGATCGACTTTTTTGTGGCGATGTGTTTAGTCAGTCGATGACCTTAATGCTCCCGAGGGAAATTTCCGGGAAAGTATTTACACGGGTGCGTACTTAAAATGGGCCAGTTTGATGGGACGGGCCGATAAAGCGAAACAATGGGCCTGGAGCACCCATGTCATTGGGGCTGTTTAGCTGCCGAGAAAATGCTTGAAGGTCGGAAACTAGAACAGGAACTCTGTGTTAAAAGAGCAAAAAAAAACACGTGTTATTAGTTCGTTGTTTATGTATTAATGGTATCCCCAAGGTAATACGTTTACACTAAATAATGAACACAGTTATAATGTTTCTCTTCACACTTTTTTTTATCAAAATGAAACTTTATGATAACGTGGTATCTTCAAATTACGATTTTATAGCTTTATCCGAAACCTGGTTAAATATTAATATTTGTCACAGTGAAATGTTTCCCAGTAATTTTACTGTTTATAGGAAAGACAGGAATTCGGATAAATTAAATGTCGATAGAAGTGGTGGCCCGACGAAGTAAATATCTGTGTACTCAGACCTTTCTTATGTAACAAGTACATTAAGTTTATTGTCTTATAGGGTAGTTCTTAACCAGATTGTCTATAATCATTGTTTCTATAGATTCTGTAGACTTTATACCCTCTAGACTTTATAGGAACTCTAGAATCTTACTATTATCGAGACTCTTCAACTGCCTTAGACTCAATAAGTTCTATTTTTAAATTTAGTAAAATCTCTAGATGCCTCAGACGACTTAGTAAGCTGTGTGTATACTTCTCTACGCATTTTATGATATATGGTCTTCCTAGATTGCCTACGTTTTCCAAATTTTCGGCGACTCTAGATTCTACCTATTCTGGAAGCGCCCTAAACTCTCTAGATCCTCTATAGTCTCAAAAATCTACTGCCTAGATTGCGTAAAGTTTATAGATTTTCTATTATCTCTGAGATCTCTCTTTCTCTGTCACGATTTTCTGTAAAATACATTCACTGAGTTTTCAGTTAATTTTATAGATTATCTATGATCAGAATATCCTTTAGACTCTATAGATTCTGTGGACTTCACATTCTGTACGTTTTCTACACTCATCAAGCTCTAAGCTCTCTAGATTCTTTAGCCCCTCTAGGTTCGTTAGGATCTCTGGACTGCCCAGAGTTTCTGTGCTTTGTGGATCTCCTACATCTTGTAGATTTTCTATACTTTCTTTTTTTTCTATTTTCCCATGTGGACTTACCAAATTCTCTAGATTCTGTAGATTTTCTAGATCCTGTAAATCATCTAAACTCTGCAAACTTCCCAAATTTTCTAAACTCTCCAAAGGCCTCAGACTCAATAAGTTCTGTATATATATTTTCTACATCTTCTATGGTGTGTAGATTTTCTACACACTCTCTTCTATAATCTCAAATTTCTAAATTATATATTTCTGAGATTTCTCTTTTTTTGTTACGATTTTCTGTAATTACGTTTACTCGAGGTTTCATTATATATGTATATTAGGTCGTCCTCTAGACACTATAGATTCTGTGGACTCTAGACCCTCTAGGATTTCCAGGCACTCTAGACTCCCACTATTCGGGAGGCTTTCTTCATTCTCTAGATTGTCTAAATTTTCTACACTCTTAACGCTCTAAGTTTCCTGGACTCTTTAGCCTCGCTAGGATCTGTGGATTGCCAAAGTTTCTATACTTTGTGGATCCCCTAAGTTCTACAGATTTTCTAGACTTTCTCTGGAGTTCTATGTATACACTTTCAATGGTGTGTAGATATCCTAGTCTCACTTCATCTCTGAGATCTTTCTTTTTTTTGATAGATATATTCATAAAATGCATGTGGTTACACATCGACGACTTATTTACTACATTAACAGTCATAAGAAAATGAAATTATCTAAGTTTCTCAAGGATCAAATTTAGATCCATTACGTTTCATGCTATTTATTAATGATGTAGTGAATCCTTCGTGTTGGATCATTAGCGATCTTTTCAGGGGTCGACTACGAAGGCGGCTTCGAAGACGGCATGTTCCACGGAGAAGGTACTTTAATATACCCCATGGGCCAAAAACTAGACGGCATCTGGGAAAAGGGCCGAATGGTGGACTACAAATTCTCAAACGTTGACGGCTTGGATTACGAAGACAAATGGAAATACTGCATGATGCCAGACAGAAGGTTAGTTGACACAAACGCCTCAAACTAAAACCAACTAAAATCTTGTGCTAGGTTTAACGTGAGTATACGCGAAGGTCTTCAACCGGCTGGAAGAGAATTCATGACGAACCAACAACCCGAAAGACAAATTGAACCCGGTTGTTACGACACTGGAGACGGGTTTTACAATCCCCTTACAAGAAGCGTCATTCTATCTCGCGATCCCGCCGACTATGAGTACGTACCACCTACACTTGTTCTGTGTTACCTATTTCTTTTTCTAGAAACGTAGAACCCAGAGTAGCAGTAGACGACGAATCGGAACCCGAAGATCTCTGGGTGAACGGCGTGACGTGTGTAGTGTTAATGACAGTCATACTATTTTGATAACTTCTGGGTTTCTAGGATGGTGGTAGAGTCCAGACATGAGTGGATAGTTAAACACTGCAGGAAAGCCTGGGACGAACCGGCGGGTTATCGTCCGGATTTGTACGAGGATTGGATAACGGGTAGAAAGAAAGAACTAGAAGACTTAGAACTAAAGTACGGTTCACGGAAATCTTCCACCACTGATGAGGGCGACAGCGACAATCTGACAGCTTCGGACAAGTACAGTGTGGATTCTGGAGAAAAGAAGTCCTTGGACTATGCCGGAACCGGGAGAAAACTATCTATGGCCTGATTTCTTGACTTAGATTAGATTGTGTAAATTGTGTAGTAGAATTTACCCTTAATAGAAGCCCGAAAGTGAGAAGTTTTTTGCACGTCGATCGGTAGTTGGGGGTGCGTGATAAGAATTTACATATATCGGGATGTCTGGGGGCTGTTTAGGAGCAAGGGAGTTTCGACGCTATTACGTTTGATAAAACGAATTGTTTTACATTTGGTTTGAGGCGAAAAGAATGTGTGCTTTATTTTATCATATTTGTTCAGGGCAGTGGGGAGAATTTAAAGTAGGTAAGTGAGTTTGAAGCATCAGGGTGAAATTGTACATTCAGAAGAACGCGATCGATGAATAAGGAAAGCGGGAAACATGATAGAGGGTAATTAAGTAAGCACCATTAATTGGACCGCAGTCAAGTTAACACAAAGAAAAAGTAAAACCTATTACATTATACGAAATTATATAACAAACTATATAAAACACAATTTGCATCACAAACTCAAAATTCATTTAGAAGAAAAAAAAGTAATGCGATCCGGTCAGGGCTGTCCTGTCACAAGCAGGGGGGGCTGCTTCGGATCCTGGAGAGGCGGGCACGTCCAAAGACTTTAGACTTCACTCTTAATAAACATTTTTTGTTGTCTCGTAAAGATCCAGAGGGCAAGAAGGACGACGTACACATAAGAAAAGGATCATGATGTATTCTGCCGGACAAACCAGGTAGATACAAATTTCCAGTCGCAATAAAAAATTGACAAACTAAGCGCAAACGCGTAGAATTTCGATGAAGCAAATAAAATAAACGACACGCTCGACTGCCCTATTTATGGTTCGAATTAATGCTTCCCAGTTCGTGAATAAAATAATTTCGTTAGCATTATTTCCTATAGCTTCGGCGATGTTTCTGCGTGTTTGCGTTTCCGGAAACAACCTTAGACGCAAATTCTTTTATTAATATTAATTGTCGATGCGAAGATGCACAGCAGTAATGGATGGGGTAGTTTCAGGCGTTGCTATTATTAGATCAAAGACTTAATAAGTGAATTTATGCAGTGTGTCAAAACGCGCAATATATCATTTTAGTTATGGCGAAGTTGTGCACTTGGATGGAATCGGTATGATCTGCGTCTAATTTCGTCGTAGTAAAATTAGTTTGAAGGTACTGAAAGTTTCACTTGATTGCAAGATGTGTAATTTCTACAGACGTGCTTATTTTATCGGGATTGCGACCGTTTAAATTGTCTAATCCTGTTTAAGCGTGCAGCGCCGCCTGATTACGCGATTTAAAATTGTTTGAATTGGAGGGGGTGTACAATAAAAAAATATCTGGAGCAGGACTATTATTTGCCGTTTATTTATAACAAGGTGATTTTCGGGGACTAAATAGGCAAGTGAATAGCGTAAATACAGTCGGGTTGACAGATAATTAACATTTGATCTGACATCATTTTTTAAAAGGGCTAGATTCTGAGAGTAGAGAAGAGAATATTTACCAGAAGGTTTTTGCGTTGGATGTCTGGAATTTGAAAATCACATATGTAGATTTAATCAATTTAATGAATAATAATTTATATTTATAACATTTATGTATTGGAAAATAATCCGTAATCGAATCTACTGCATAGCCTCGGGTTTTGGTTTTTCAGATTTGAGAATATTGAGGTTGGTGGTAACGCAACCCATTGCCGTGAAAATCTAGAAAATATATCACAATAAATTACATCACTAGCACAGTTACAAATTATAGTAACATAGATTGCTATTAATCTGGTTGAAGAACTTCATTTGAACTTTTACTTTAGTTAATATTTTTTAAGCATCCACTTACCAACAGATTTACCATGAACGCAATGTAGACAGTGTCGAAGGTAATTTTTTTTTTATAAGGCCACAGTAATCTGCAGAATATACACGTAATTGCAAATAACCGGAAAAACCTATTATTTTTAACAGGGCAGTTATAATTTAGATTCATCTGGAAAAATTAACGCTCCAGAACAAAATCAATCTGGCTGTGATAACTTCTGATGCAATGTCGTTATTTGCCATAATTACACCTTCAAATTGTAGGTTTTTATTGCTTCGTTTATGTTTTTAAATTATTCTTCCGTACAATAGATAAATGGAAAATTTTACAACTAACATATAACAGACCAATAATTTGCATTTAATGCCTGCTTTTTGTAATTAATAGATACGCAATCTTTAATTTACAGTGTTACCACACTTGAGTAGGCAAATCTACCTTTCGTATGGTAGCAAATACTAGTAACACAAATTTATTGTAGTATCACTTAATCAAAAATGATTCAGCTAAACCACCTTATGATCCTTCATAATCCCTAAAGTGCGAAAAAATAGATCTCCTATTTTCGTTTGCCTGTCTGTCATCTGTCTATGTCGATTTTTATTAGATAGTTAATCCTCGAAATTACATAATCGATTGTTGTCAAATTTCATATATAGGTTAAAATACTTTTGTAGATGGTAAAACGATAAGCAAAATTTGTCCAATCATCCCCATCAACACTCTGATGACGTTTCCTCAAATTTTGCGTAATAAATACCATTTAATTTTTATAAAAACAACCTACTCTTGAATTTGAGTTTTCCCTAGCCATCCAGATTTTGGCAAAAACACAAATTGAAAAACAATTTTTTATTTAAGGGCATGGATTCGATTACCTTATGCAGCATTTTTTGTTCTTACACTGTGATTGGTATTATTCATTTTTAACTTATAGGTGTTATTATGAAAAAAATCATTTTCCCAAAATCAAATTTGATAATTTTTTGTTGCACTGTAATTCAGGAGCGAAGAAAGTGCTATCTAAATAACTCTGCACCAATTCTTTACTAGTATTTTACAATCGTGGTTAATGCTTATTAAAAGAATAAACTTTTTCCATAAATATAATGTTGCGAAACCCAGTACGACGCTTATGATTTTTCTCGAGAGCTTTCTAGTATGTTCGCCGAAGACGGGTGACTCATGAACGGTGACGGCGACCGGGCGGTATTTGATTAAAGAAGCGCCTAGATGCCTAGAAGCTATGAACAAAAAGCAAGCTCACGAAAGAAGCAAGAAAATTGTTTTGCGAGATGTACCAACAAGATATTGTAAAAGATATGAGAATATGCTCCGTATGTAAGAAATACGTGCACGAGAAGTGCGTTGATCTCACTAAAAATGATAAAGATATTTTTATTTCTCCTTATTATAAAATTTAACAATTTGTTTGTCAATAAAGTTTTTTTCCGTGCTTATTTTTGTATTTTTTTTTTCGATTTTGTAAAACAGGCCATGACACACTTTAATAAAATCGGGTACTGTTGGGCTCTACATTTTTTAAAATGTCTGAAATTTGAAAATTATGTACAAAAATGTAGCCTCTTTCAACTCGACCCACCATTAGTCTTCCATTTCAAGATCTTACAAAAATTTTAAAAATTCTCAAAGCTTACGTAGACCATATAGGGAACAGTGACCTTATATATTTAATTATTAATTTATATTTATAACATTTATATCTTGAAATGTAATTTGTAATTGTATTTATTGCTCCCGGCTTTTGGTGATCTAGACCTAGGTCCAGACATAGATCCAGACGTAGGTCCAGACATAGGTCCAGACATAGGTCCAGACATAGGTCCAGACATAGGTCCAGACATAGGTCTAGACATAGGTTCAGGCATAGGTTTATACACAGGTCTAGATATAGGTATTGGCGCAGACGACTGGATAATATTGATGTTCTGGGTCCTGAAAGCCATTGCCGTGGAAATCTACAACACATATCACAATAAATTAGACCAGTTACAAATGGTCACAAGCACAATTAGAGTAACATAAATTGCAATTTTCTTGCTGTGATATGCTCATATGTTAACGTTTTATTAAATTCATTCAGTAACAATTAATTTTATACCAACTCAATTAATCTGGTTGAAGAATTTCATTTGAACCTTTAGCTTATTTGATATAGGTATTTCTAGAAAATTTCTACAGATTTTTTTTACAAGTAGAAATTTTACTAAGTACATTTTTCAAAATCCATGATCAATAGTATCGCAAATAATGCAAACCCATGTATCTTAAACAATGGCGAGCTATAAACTGTATTTTTTCTTTAACAAAGTAATTAATTTTTTTTAAACATCCACCTACCAACAGATTTACCACTAACACGATGTAGACAGTGTAGAGTATAAATTTCATTTTGGCGAAAATCACCAGCTGTAGCTCGCTTTATAATGCCTGAGTAATCTTAAGAACATACATTTATGTCTTACTTAATTGCAAATAACCGGAAAAACCTATTATTTTTATAGGGTAGTCAGAATTTTAAATTCATCTGGAAAAATTAATGCTCGAGAACAAAATCAGTCTGGTTGTAATTACTTGTGACCCAATGTCGTTATTTGGCATAATTATACTTTCAAATTATTGCTTTTTTATTGCTTGGTTTATGACTTTAAACCATTCTTCCATATAATAGATACAAAATTTTACAACCAACATACATATAATACACCAATAATTTGCATTTAATGCCGGTTTTTTGTAATTAATAGATACGCAATCTTTAATGTAAAATATTACAACAGATATCATTGCCCCAGGTATTTTGTATTCTTAAACTGTGATTAGTATTACCCATGTTTAACTTAAATAAGGGTTATTATAATATAAATCAATTTCCCAAAACCACATTTTAAAATTTCTTGTTGGACTGTAAGTCGAAGGCGAAGTAAGTCCTGTCTGAATAAACTTACACCAATTCTTTACTGGTATTTTATAATAGAGGTTAATACTTATCAAAGAATTATCATTTTCATAAATATGAGGCACTCAAAAATATAATATTACGAAATAAACCCACAGGCCGCCCCGGTACGACGCCTGTGGATTTTCTCTAGGGCGTTCTAGTATGTACAGCGATGATGAGTGACTCAAGCCGGGCAACGTTGACTAAAAAACGCATTGAAGCGATTCTGCGGAAGTCTTGGCGGACTATCCAGAAAGGAACGTATGGGTTTAAATAGGGACCACCATCGAGAGCAGTCCATTTTTGGAATTTGAAAATCAC